CAACCTCCGTCCTTGGGCGATGAAATACATATGCGAACATAATAGATTTATATGTGCAGTTGTCTATAACGCTAATAATAAAAGAGGCATAGACATAATAATTCAAGTGTTCTATATTTTATGATATTTTGGTTACAACCAATATTTTTTATAATTTTATAGAAAAATCAAATTTAGTTTGTACTGCATTGATTATTCACAAATTTTTTTTTTTTTGGCAAGATACCATCATCCTCTGAGCATTTTTCTGTAACACCTTGCAGATCCATGCTCTACCTACTGCAAATTTGCCATTAATTGCTTATAGTGAAAAGATACTTATAAATTTCTTTATTGATACTAAGCACATGGATAGTACATGCCTTTATTAAAATTTTGTGTTCTTCATTTGAAGAATTTATTTATAAGAAATCTGATGAACTGTTAGGGTAAGTCTAGGCCTTGTTTCGATAGATCGTAAATTCATCACATTTATCGAACTATTGTTTGATAAAATAATATTTTAATTTAAAAAATACGTTTAAAATAACCAAGTCTCTATTTAAGGTGAAATAGACGATAACATAGCGTTGTTATGACAACGTTATGTTATGAATTTTTCTTGGTACTAAAAACTGTGAAATGATTATTAAAGGTATTTGCAGTGCGATCACTAAACCTAGAAAGAATGTTATGTCCGGGATAGAACACAGTTTTTAATAATAACAGAGATTCATAACATAGCGTTGTTATGGCAACGCCTATTGGCAGAATTGGCCCCTGAATGTGGTTGTGATCAGTAGCGGATCCAGCTTTGGCGCCAGGGGGGGGGGCGGAATCACATAATTAAATTATGTATAGAACATATATTCGCAATACGATTAGAAAATTTTTAAATTTTAGGAACCGTTGACTCCGCCGTTCGTGTATAATAAGTTACATACTGAAGTTAAAGAACGTGTTTGGTAACAAAATATATAAATAAAATCATTATAAAGTAATTTTATTGCTGAATTAGTGTTCTCTTTAAGTCTTAAAACAAACTCAGAGGGGGTGGGGGTTATGACTCCCGTAAACCACCCCCTGGATCCGCCACTGGTTGTGAATCACTTGCTTCAGTCTATCAATTTATTTCTAGTGTCTATGCCTCTCGTACTATTCTCACTTACCTATAACTATAGAAAGAGTTCAACTATATTCGACTGCACAGCCTCAGCCCCAGAGCAAGGCAATATACGATTAGACAGAGAAGTGTATAACCGTGGAATTTTCCACCGCGTACTAAGTCTCTGCGCAAGTCTGATAGTCGAGAGCGAGAGCGACGATATAAAAACCATGTCACAATGCTCGCCGTTTTTATGATTCATTTCATTCGTTTCAATTTAATTATTTATAGAATAAAGGCTCTTATTACTTTTTATTCGAAGTTGATGGGTCAGTATTAAAATAGTTTTGCTCAACCAGTTGATTGTGGCGCTCTCATTGAACTGTGCGCACACTTTGGTGTTGTCAGAATCCAGGTATATTGTTGTTTAAAAGCAAAATACCACTTACAACTATTTATATTATTCAGCAGCCGGAAAATATCATAAATATCTTGAAATTTGAGAATGTATTTTTTTTTCAAAAATTGTAATCTGAATAACAGATTGGTGAAATGACGAGTATACTCGTCAATACACCAAATTCTGCCACTTCTCCATGACTAGTCAATCATAGTAAACTGGTTAAAAGATTTATCATAAAACGACTTCTACTTCTTGAAGTCCATGCATACAATTAATAATTATTAAGTAAGGTCAAGATATCGGTACATATAAGTAGAGCAATTTTGGATCAAACTTTGGATCTGTAATATTGTGACGATAATCAATATTATCGTCTTATTGATAATTATTGTCGCCTGATGGTAGTCAACCCCAGAGTACAACATCCCTACCCTTAACTATTTATTGGTTCTTGGGGTCCAAGAGAGCGAGATGCTCTGGAGATCCTGGGCAATTAATAAGTATATATTAATAAGCCTTGGGATACGTTAGTGTTAGTTGTGTGTGTGTTGTGCCACAAGACAGGTCCAGCTAAATGTCAGATCATGTAAATTATAAGCTGTAGCTATTCTCCCCCATATGCCCATTAAGCTCAATAAGAATAAGTGGTATTAGTTAGGGAACAGGACTGTATGCAAGTACAGTCATGTTCCACAAATACATGCGGAATGTATGATTAATTATTAAATAGATTTAGTTATTAAAGTAATCTTAGTTTCATTCGCATAGTGGCTACTAACCCCCACAGGTAATTACAGGTACTTTAGCGGGCGACTGGAATGTTGAGGTAACCCTTCGTAATGGGGCTGCAATGCTGAAATATAATATTTGGCAGCCATTGCAATCTCCAAGAAGGGGGCTTCAACCCCCACTTGTCACAATATTGTATAGTCCTTATCCATGATTTATTTCATAACCAATGCAAACAGAAAACTTTTAATTTTGACCTGAGCAGAAAAACATTTTAAATGAGCAATTATTTATAAATTCACAACTGATTGCGAGTTATTTTAGTGTTGAAATAATAAATCGTTAAAAAACGAACGTCAATACATTCCAAGTACTAAAAAACTGATATTTTTTTACAACGATCATAGTCACGTGGTCTATGAGTATTTTTTCTCGAGAGGAAAACTCTTCTTTTTCATGTGTTTTTAGTATTTTGTTTTTTGTTGCACAGAAAGATTATTTTAATAAGTAGAGTAAAATTTTTATATATCTTTACGTTTCAAAGGTTTCTGCATACCTTAGAAAATGAATGTATGTATGTGTAAAAAATTTAGTCGACGAATTCGAAAACACCAATCAACCGATTTGAATAATTAAAAAAACATTCGATTCGTATTGACAAGGAGACGTGCTGATTAGTTTTTGGTATAGGCAGGTCCAGCCGTTTCGTAAATATAGAGCAAAATGTGCAGAAATTCCGATTAGGTCCTAGACATCCTGTGAGTGAGCATGTCGTTATAGCTCAGTTGGTTGGCGGATCAGTTTAGTTTAATTATTTTATTACAAAAACAACATTTTAAATATTTGACAAAACAATGTTGTTTAATCCATAATAATCCATAAGCAAGGACCTAATGCAACATGCAGCAGAGTACACATTGTAAAAGAGTACGAGAAAAGGGTTAAAAGGGTCAAAATGGGTCAAACGTAAGGGTATCATTCTTAATCAAATTCATAATTCACTGATAGCTATTATGTAATAGATGAAAAGAATGCGTTCATTAACGCGAGAGGAATTCAAAGAATTTAGTAAGGATTCAGCAAATCTTCTAGGATAACATTTTTTCCCCTACATAAAATAATTAGTTGAACAGTGTTAAAAACATATAGGACAAGCGATTGAAAATTGTTTCACAAGGATGATTCTCAAACAAACAGAAAATAATTGCGTTCTACAATAATAAATATATAGGTATAAGTATCATTAACTTCACGAACTTTAATAAATATATTCGTCCTTGGTGCAACGCGGAGGTCGCACGGCAGAAATCGCATTATCTGACAAGACAACGTTGGTAAATATCATTAAATAAATATATGTATATTTAATACATTATGCATAATTTGAACCAGTTTACATATTCTATATGCAGATGAAAATATATACGCATAACATGATAAGGCATTTATGCATGTAAAATTTTGTTTATGTAGGATTAGCGAGATATTTGAACTTGATTATATATTTCTAGGATTATCATGCTAATAACAGGCGTGCATGTG